CTCCCCGCCACTCGCACCCCCCAGCTCATGCTCTCACCCCCGTACTGTCTGTGTCCACTAGTTATGCTTACATACCTCATCCATTTTAAAAATATTAACCGTTCGGCCCTGGCCAGTTTGGCTCAGTGGATAGAGTGTTGGCCTGTAGACCAAAAAGTCCCGGGTTCGATTCTGGTCAAGGGCACGTACCTTGGTTTCAGGCTCCTCCCCGGCCCGGGCCCTGGTCAGGGTGCGTGCAGGAGGCAACCAATCGATGTGTCTCTCACATCGATGTTTCTCTCAGTCTCTCCCTCTCCCTCCCACTCTCTCTAATCGGGTGAGGATTAACAAAAACAAAAGCTTGCTCTGTCAGCACCATCTGACCCAGCATGCACTTCCCCAGGCCCTGAAGAGCATCGAGTGCCTGGAGGGAGACGCACAGGAGCCCGCAGGGGAGGCCGTGCCTGGGTCACCGGACCCTGACGGCCTGCGGGACCAGGAGCCCTCGCAGCTGGAGGAGTTGGCCGACTTCATGGAACAGGTTTGGACATTTCCTCCTTTTGCTTTCACTTCGTGTTTTTCTGTACAAGTCGTTGTCTTAAAAATGTATTCCTTTCATAAATATTTCTTGTTCACTTTGGCCAAGAACAGTCACTTTTTTGTTGTTAATCCTCACCCGAGGATATTTTTTTATTGATAGAGTGAGATATATAGAGATACAAACATTGACACATTGATTGGTTGCCTCCCACATGCCCCTACCAGGGCTGGGGATTAAACTTCCAACTGAGGTATGTGCCCTCCACCGGAATTGAACCTGCAGCCGTTCAGTCCTCGGGCCAGTGCTCTACCCACTGAGCGAACTGGCCAGGGCACAACCACTTTTTTGATTGAAGTGCTGGTGGGGGCTTGTAAGGAACTTAATCCTATTGGCCTGCAATGAACTATCCAAAAAATATATTTTGAAACAGCTCACCCCAATTGAAAAATATGCTTTGAATTACCTGGAACTATTCCATTCTTCCATCGATCATGAAAAAGAGAGGAACGGTGAGGTAAGGACCATCTTCACACGCGAGCAGCTCAGGTCTGTGGGGTTAAGTTTGGTTTGGAGGGAAGTGAGTTGCCAGGAATCACAGGAATGAACCCAAACCCACCAGTGCAGACACCAGCTGCCATGCAGGTCCAGGAGGCCCCGTGCAGGCGGTTCCAATGGGGGAGCAGTGGTGCCTGACAGGTTCCATGCTGGGAAATGGCCACCACAGCGTGGAGGGGCCGCGGCCGGGAAGAGAGGTCCTTGGTCTGAGTGTGAGACCAGGTGGGGGGGGGCAGGTGTGTTCCCCGTGGGGACGGTGCTGGACGCCGTGTCCGAGCCTGTGGTCTCCCAGCAGGACGCCGTGCTGACTGCAGTGAGCGCCTGGGAGGCCCAGAACCTGCGGGCGCTGCAGGAGCAGGAGGCCCGGGCGCTGCAGGAGCAGGAGCAGGAGCAGCTGCTCACCTACACCCGGGAGGACGCCTACAACGCGGTGCGCACCCCATCCTCGCGTCACCACACAGACGCGTGCTCTCAGCCCACTGCATGGCTTCCGGTTCCATGTTGCTTTTCCCTCGGGGTGTAGTGAGGTCCCTGAAGTTACGAAGGTGCTGGCAGCCTGAAGCAGACTCACACTGAAAGCTCCCCTCTGTCTCCCGCAGGAATACATCTACGAAGGAGCGGACGGGCAGACCGAAGTCATGCCGGTGCGTGCCCCGGCCCCGGCCCCTGTGGGTGGCTGCCTTCCTCGAGCCGCCAGCTCATGCCTCTCCCTTCTCCGTGCAGCTCTGGACCCCACCCACGCCGCCCCAAGACGACAACGACATCTACATCGACTCGGTCATGTGTCTCATGTACGAGACCACGCCCATCCCCGAGTCCAAGCTGCCCCCGGTGTACGTGAGGAAGGAGCGCCGGCGGCACCGGACGGACCCCTCAGGTGTGCGCCGCGGGCCTGCTCCCCTCGCGCCGCGTTGTTCCCGAGCGGAGGAGCCTTGCGTGCAGGCCAGTGGGCAGGGAGGCAGGATGGGTCGTCCTGGCCCAGGGCTCCTGGGTGCCGGGCCTCCTGCTCAGCCCCTGGCCCCTCCTTGGCTGGCTGTGGGCGGAGGCTCTGGCTCCGCAGTCCTGAGCGGCCTCTCTGTCCAGCTGCAGGCAGGAAGAAGAAGCAGCGGCACGGGGAGGCGGTCGTGCCCCCGCGGTCGCTCTTCGACCGTGCCACGCCGGGCCTGCTGAAGATGCGGCGGGAGGGGAAGGAGCAGAAGAAGAACCTCCTGCTGAAGCAGCAGACGCAGTTCGCCAAGCCTCTGCCCACCTTCGCCAAGCCCGCTGCCGAGTCGGGTCCCGACAACCCCGAGTGGCTCATCAGCGAGGACTGGGCGCTGCTGCAGGTGAGCCCGGACCCGGGCCCTTCCCCACGTGTCCGTCCGCGCCCTGCCCACGGCGGGGGAAGCGGGAAGCCGCCTCCGCGTGCTGACCGGGTGCCTCCCCTGGTCCTCTAGGCCGTGAAGCAGCTGCTGGAGCTGCCTCTGAACCTCACCATCGTGTCCCCGGCCCACACGCCCAACTGGGACCTCGTCAGCGACGTCGTCAACTCCTGCAGCCGCATCTACCGCTCCTCCAAGCAGTGCCGCAGCCGCTATGAGAGCGTGCTCATCCCCAGGGAGGAGGGCAAGGTGAGACCCGGGGCCATTGGCACAGGGCGCAGGGGCTCCGCAAGGGGATGGGGCCTGGCGGTACGGGCACCGTGCTGCTTGGTCCTTGGAAGGTGCTGTGTGGCTCCGGGCGCCAGGTCCTGCCGCCTCAGGTCAGCAAGCAGAGCGTCGCCGTGCACGGTAGCTCGTGTGAAGCCTGGTCTGTGCTTTCCCTGACTTGGCTGCTGGGCTGGTTTGATGACTCTAGGCCCTCAGGTCCACACGGACCGAGCATCACGCTGCTGCGGTCGTCGGGCAGCTGGGTCCTTGGCGTCCGTCGCCAGGAACCGGGGAGTCCGCGCTGTGGGGGCGCAGGTGACTTGGGAGCCGGCAGGCACTTGGTGTCGCTGTGGGACTCAGGAAGGCGGCGTTACCAGGCACAAGCAGTGCCAAGCCCCCGAGAAATGCCTGGGGGCAGGAATGTCCGCCCCTTCACAGCTCGCTATGGGCAGAGGCCCCAGGGAAGGTCAGGTTGCTGGGGAAGGTGCTGGCTTCATCCCTTGTCTGTGGCCTCACGCGCTGGGCCAGCTGCTCTCTGTCTGCAGCTGCTGATGGGCGGCTCGCTCAGGGACGTGCGGAAAGGCCTGGCACAGCCCGAGGAGTTGTGGGCGGGTGGCAGCTGCCGGCCGCTGTGCCCTTGCTGTCGTGTGTGTGCTGTCCCAGGAAGAAGGGGTTAATCACGGCCTCACCTGAGGCCTCCCCGTCAGTGAGCCCGTCCCGGGGTTGAGGTCTGACCGACCATTTTGTTTCAGAGCAAGAACAACCGTCCTCTGCGCACGGGCCAGATTTACGCCCAGGACGAGAACGCCACGCACACCCAGCTGTACACGAGCCACTTCGACCTGATGAAGATGACCGCCGGCAAGAGGAGCCCCCCCATCAAGCCCCTGTAGGCCCACGCTCCCTGCACTCGGGGGCCGGGCTGGGCCGGGGCGGGGAGGGAGGCTCGTCCCGTCGTTTGTCGTGCGCGTCTCCTTTTTCCTTCACGCGGTGACTTTTGTCTCCGTCTCTGCTGTAGGCTTGGCATGAACCCCTTCCAGAAAAACCCCAAGCACGCGTCCGTGCTGGCAGAAAGGTACTGTTGTTGACACGCTTTCCCTCTCAGGTGGTTCCCTCCCATCTTCTCTTATATGCCATCAGTTTAGTGAGCTGTTGAGCACATGGCCTGTCCTGGCGTCGCTGGGGGTGGTGGTGTGGCCGGGCAGGCCCAGCAGGGGCTCGTCCAGGGAGATCCTTGTTTGCACAGGAGGGTGTGGAGGCGGCGTCCTGCCTGCCGGCCTGGCGGAGGGCACAGCAGCGGGACAGGGCACTCTCCTCTCCGCCTCACCCCTGACCTGCAAACATTGTGTTGGCTCTTCTGTAAATACATGCCCAGTTGTGGGGTGCACATACTTGCTTTGGATCAAGGAGGTCTTTAGGTGACAAAGTGGGGGAGGACGCAGGGGTCCATGAGGGGGTGAGGAGACCTGTGGGACCTGTAGCCCTGGGGCTTGCTGGCCGGGTGGCGGGGGTGGAGGCGCAGTGCTCATTCAGCTGGGGGCTGGGACATCTGTTCTCAGGCCTGGAAGGGAACGGACCATGGGCGGGGTGACGGGCAGCCTTTCTCCTTCCCAGCCTGGTCCGCCCCACACCCCTCCTCTGGGCTGGGTGGGAGCTGCCTCCAGCACCCGGCAGCTTTAAGAATGGGCTGTGGGTTTCAGGAATATTTGTGCTTTTGTGCTTCAGAACTTGCGGCTTATTTTTATTTCTTCTCCTGTCTTTAGTGGCATCAACTACGACAAGCCCCTGCCTCCTATCCAGGTTGCATCTCTCCGTGCCGAGCGAATCGCCAAGGAGAAGAAGGTGCGGGGCCTGGGCGTACGGGCGGCTGCCATTAGCAGTGGAAGCCCCAGGTGCTCCATCTCCTTTCTTCCTGCCCTGCAGGCCTTGGCCGACCAGCAGAAGGCACAGCAGCCGCCTGTGACGCAGCCTCCTCCACCCCCGCCGCAGCCACAGCCCCCACCGCCCCAGCAGCCACCACCGCCTCTGCCCCAGCCCCCAGCGGCCGCCGGCAGCCAGCAGCCCTCGGGGCCGCCCGCCGTGCAGCCCCCTGCCCAGGCGCAGCCTCCAGCACAGCCTGTGCAGCCCCCACAGAAGGCGCCCCCTGCGATCACTACGGTGGGCAGTGCCGCCGTGCTGGTGAGCAGGCCCTCCCCGCCCTCAAGTGCCTGAGGTTCCTGCAGCCCCCAGAGCAGCAGGCCTCCTTCCTGTCGGGGAGACGGGGTGTCTGTCTCCTGCAGGGCTCCTGTGCTGGGAGAGCTCAGCGGTGCAGGAGCCTCGGAGTCAGGAGGATGTGTGAGCCTAACTGAGGAAGTCGCCCTTCCTCCCCATGAACTTGCAGAGCAGACAGTTTGCCAGTTTGCAAGCTTCTCTTCTGACTTGGTAGTTTTCCTCAAAGCACATGCATGTGTGCTCATGCGCACACGTGAGCCCTCCGTGCCTGTCAGAGAAAAGGGGTAAAATGCACAAAAGAAGGAAAGAAAAGTGGGCTGGTGATCTCACAGGCCCTATGCTGGCACCGTCACGCCCTGGCATGTGCCCTCGCTCTGGTGCCCACGTGGCCACGCTGAGCTCACAGTGGGAAGAGACCGGGAGTGGATGGAGGCTCAGCTGCTCTGCACTGTCAGCCAGGCCTGGGGCGTCTGCAGAACCAACCCCTTTGCTTTGATTTCCTTTGCTGGGGGCGGGCGGCGGGGGCGGTGTTCGTATGTGCCTGGGCAGCCTCACTCCTCATTCATTCAGAAAATGCACTCCGGAGCACCTGCGCCCAGGGACTCTGTGGGCAGGCGTCCGGCCAGGCAGGACCCGGAGAGCCCTGGTGGGTGCTCAGGAGGGGCTGTGCCTGAGCGACAGGAGTCAGAAAGGAGTGGAGACCGGCAGGCACAGGCCCGAGCCTGGCAGCTGTGGGGCCAGCAGGACAGCATGGCTGGAGCACCACTCACGGAGGGGTGGACACAGCAGTGTGGGAGGGGCTGGGACAGCGCTGGAGTCGGCCGTGTGGCCAAGAGTTTGGGTTTGATGCTGACAGAATGGGAGCTCTGGGAGGGTGTGCCGTGTGCGTGTGCAAGTCACGTGTCTCTCCAGCAGGCCGGAGCCATCAAGACCTCTGTGACGGGGACAAGCATGCCAGCAGGTAAGGGGCCAGCGATGTCCGTGGGAACTCACTTGTCTCGCGTGCTCTTGCCCCACAGACCCCTCTCTCTGCAGGCACAGTGAGCGGAAACGTGATCGTGAACACCATCGCGGGTGTCCCTGCTGCCACCTTCCAGTCCATTAACAAGCGCCTGGCCTCGCCCGTGGCGCCTGGAGCCCTGACGGTGAGCTGCCTGCTCCTGGGGGGTCAGCAGTCGAGACGCTGTGCAAGTCATTTGCTTGTTGGGAAAAGTACTGACCTGGTTGAGTTTCATAAAGTAACATGGACTTGAGATGCTTTAGTTTAGTTTTTAATAATAATAATAATATATATATATGTATTTAGCAATATTTATTTTTTTTATTATTGTCTAAAGATTTACATACGTCTCTTTTTCCCCCTATTAACTGCCCCCCCCAGCCATTCCCACCCTGGGCAAGCCCCCACCGCCCCAGTGTCTGTGTCCATTGGATATGCTAATTAATAATATTTTTACTGATTTCAGAGAGGAAGGGAGAGGGAGAGAGAGAGAGAAACGTCAGTGATGAGAGAGAATCATTGATCAGTTGCCTCCTGCACGCCCCCTACTAGGGATCCATCCCACAGCTTGGGCATGTGCCCTTGACTGGAACTGAACCCGGGCGGGACCTTCAGTCCATAGGCCTATGCTCTATCCACTGAGCCACACTGGCGAGGGCGGACCTGTGGTATTTTAAAAGATAAAGTAATTCATCCACGATGCATTTTTGAGCACCGCTTCCTGTGATGTGGGGATCGAACATGGCTGAAGCCCACAGTGCTTGCACGGGGCTCTGCTGGCCGAGGCTGGGGCGCAGGTGCCGGCAGCAGGAGGGGCAGCAGCAGGCAGTGGGCAGGCCCTTCAGACTCGGGATAGAGGGCTCTCCGGGTGTAGATGATGAAAGTTACACTTCCTGTTTTAAAGAAAGAAAAAGCTGGAGAACGCCTGTACAAACCTGGAAACTTTTAAAAGAACGTAGAGAACTTTGGGAAATGAAAACTGGCTACCAGAATTGTAGAAAGAAAACCTAGTAATTGGGCTTACTGACCGTTCCCCAGTAGGAGAGAGAATTAGTGAACTGGAAGACAATCTGAGGAAGTTATCCCAAACGCAGGGTGGGGACCAGTGGTGAACGGAGAGAAGTTAAAGCCAGGAGAGGTGGACAGGGAGGATGGGAGGTCAGGCAGAGAGAGGGAAGGCGTGTTTCTGTAACAATAGCCCAGGCCCAGGACAGGAGGGATCCCGCCTGTGCACAGTGCAGGCAGCGGCGGGCGGGGTCTCTGGAGGCCAGCAGCTCACCTCTCCCTATTGTGGGGAAGCCAGGAGCCGAGGGGACCACCAGCAGCCCCGGCTCTCTCTCCGTTGGAAATACGGCGAGGGATTTGCAAACCACTGAGGGAAGTGCAGGGCGACCTGCTCTAGCTCAGGGCAGCGCTTCGAGTGTGCAAGGGCGCCTCCTGGAGGCTCAGCACCTCCAGGATGGCCGTGGGTTTAGTTGGTGCCCTTTCCACCCAGTGATGGAGAGAGCAGTCCCCTGATGGGCCCTCGTGTTGCCTTTCCAGAGCTCCGGAGGCTCGACGCCGGCCCAGGTGGTCCACACCCAGCCCCGAGCGGTGGGCTCCCCGGCCACGTCTGACCTGGTGTCCCTGGCGCCGACGCAGGGCGTTCGTGCGGTCACCTCCGTGACAGCCTCGGCCGTGGTCACCACCAGCCTGGCTGCCGTGCAGGCCCCAGCCCGGTCTTTGGTGACGCAGGTGTCCCAAGGTAAAGGTGGTGGGTTTCCTGTGCCCGTCCACCCTGAGAGGCAGGACTCGGCTCCCGTGTTGTGGGGAAGGGAGCAGCGTCCGCTAATGAAACAACCTCTCCAGCCACAGGCGTGCAGCTCCCAGGGAAGACCCTCACGCCCGCACACTTCCAGCTCCTCCGGCAGCAGCAGCAGCAGCAGCAGCAGCAGCAGCAGCCGCCGCCGCCTCCACCGCCCTCCCAGGCGCAGGTCCCGCAGCTCCAGGGCCAGGCCCAGTCGCCCGCACAGATCAAAGCTGTCAGCAAGCTGACCCCGGTGAGCACCTCCTGGGAAACCACGGGCCCAGTGGGTGGCGCTGTGACATGGCGTAGCTCAGGTGTATTGTGCATAAACGCACCCTAGTCTGCAGGCGGGAGGTGAGTGTTGTCTTTAGAAGTAGCTTGTTGGCAGCCTCTGGAGGCGCCTCCCACCTGCTCTGTGCTCTGTGCTCTGTGCTGTGTGCTGTGTGCTCTGTGCTCTGTGCTGTGTGCTCTGTGCTCTGTGCTCTGTGCTGTGTGCTCTGTGCTGTGTGCTGTGTGCTCTGCTGTGTGCTGTGTGCTCTGTGCTGTGTGCTGTGTGCTCTGTGATGTGTGCTCTGTGCTCTGTGCTGTGTGCTGTGTGCTCTGTGCTCTGTGCTGTGTGCTCTGTGCTCTGTGATGTGTGCTCTGTGCTCTGTGCTGTGTGCTGTGTGCTCTGTGCTCTGTGCTGTGTGCTGTGTGCTCTGTGCTGTGTGCTCTGTGCTGTGTGCTGTGTGCTGTGTGCTGTGTGCTGTGTGCTCTGTGCTCTGTGCTCTGTTCTCAGCTGTGTGCTGTGATCTATGCTGTGTACTGTGTGCAAAGTGCTGTGTGCTCTGTGCAGTGTGCTGTGTATCTGCTGTGTGCTCTGTGCTCTGTGCTGTGTACTCTGTGCTCTGTGCTCAGAGCTGTGTGCTGAGTGCTCTGTGCTGTGAGCTCTGTGCTGTGTGCTGTGTGCTCAGTGCTGTG